ATTAATAGTTGTAATGAATGTTTCAACTAGTTTTAGGCTACAGTCTGGAAGCTTGCACTGAATAAAACTCATAACCTTTAATCAGTGTCCTGTCTCTACAACAACAACAACAACAACAAGATTCCATTTATAGAGCGCCTTTCACGTCAGGAGGACGTCCCAAGGCGCTGCACAGTTGGGTCATGACCCGAGCAGGGGGGAAATGGTCAGGGTGAGGGAAGGGAGGGAGAGAGGAGGGGGGAAATGGTCAGGGTGAGGGGAGGGAAGGGAGGGAGCGAGGAGGGGGAAGAGAGTCGAGAGGGGAGCTGAAGGCACGGTCAAAGAGAAAGGTTTTGAGACCGGCCTTGAAGGAGGAAAGGGAGGAAGCAAGGCGAAGGCACTGGGGGATGGAGTTCCAGAGCCTCGGGGCTGAGAGGCTGAAGGCCCGACCACCGATAGTAGGGCGGTTGGGGCGGGGGACGTGGAGCAGACCGGAGCCAGAGGAACGGAGGGTACGGGCAGGTAGGTAGGGGGATAGTAGGTTGGAGAGGTAGGAGGGAGCAAGGCCGTGAATGGCCTTGTAGGTGAGGATGAGGATCTTGAAATCAATCCTCTGGGGGATGGGGAGCCAGTGGAGGCGAGCGAGGGTAGGAGTGATGTGGTCCCGAAGCCTGGTGCGGGACAGTACACGAGCTGCAGAGTTCTGAATGACCTGCAGCTTGTGGAGGGAGGTGGCGGGAAGGCCGGCGAGGAGAGAGTTCCCATAGTCCAGCCTTGAGGTGACAAAGGCGTGAACCAGGGTTTCAGCAGCGTGAGGGGTGAGGTAGTGCCGTAGTCTGGCGATATTCCGGAGGTGATGGAAGGCGGTGCCAGTTGTGGTGCGGATGTGAGGGAGAAAGGACAGCTCAGGGTCGAACAAAACGCCGAGGTTCCTGACTGGCTTTGAGAGGTGGAGAGTGCAGCCTTGGATGCTGATGGTGTCAGCGCCTGAGGTGCGGAGGCGCTGACGTGAGCCAATCAGGAGGGCCTCGGTTTTTCGCACGTTGAGCTGAAGAAAGTTGTCTCTCGTCCAGGACTCGATGTCGGACAGGCAGGCTGTCAGGACATCGGTGGTCGTGGAGTTGAGAGTAGAGGAGGAAAGGTAGAGTTGGGTGTCATCCGCATACATGTGGAAGTTAACCCCATGTTTGCGGATGATGTCACCGAGGGGGAGCATATAGAGGGTGAAGAGGAGGGGACCGAGGACAGAGCCCTGAGGGACACCACATGAGACAGTACGGGGGGTGGAGGAGAAGCCATTCGTTGAGACGAAGTGAAGACGGTGGGAAAGGTAAGAGCTAAACCATTCAAGGACAGTGCCTTGAAGGTTGAGGTGGGAGGACAAGCGGTGGAGTAGGATAGCGTGGTCGACCGTATCGAATGCTGCCGATAGGTCGAGGAGGACGAGGAGACAGAGGGAGCCCTGGTCACAGATAGTCAGGATATCATTGGTGACCTTGACCAGGGCAGTTTCTGTGCTATGAGCAGCACGGAAACCTGACTGAAGGGGTTCAAAAAGAGAATGGGTGGAGAGGAAAGAGCGCAGTTGGGAGGCGACAACTCTTTCCAAGACCTTGGAGAGAAAGGGGAGGTTGGAGATGGGCCGGTAGCTTGATAGCTGCGACGCATCAAGGGAGGGTTTTTTCAGGGTGGGCGTGATGATGGCAGTTTTTAATGGAATGGGGACAGAGCCAGAGGAGAGGGACAGGTTTATGATGTCAGTGATGTGTGGGGCAAGAAAATGGAGCTGGGAGATAAGGAGTGGAGTGGGGATGGGGTCAAGGGAGCAGGTGGTTGGTTTTAGGGATAGGATGAGTTCAGTGACAGAGGGTGGGGAAACGGGTACGAAGGTGTGTAGGGGAGGATGGGTAGGAGTCGGAGTGTGGGAGGGAAGGGGTGGGTGGTGGGTGGAAGTTGGAGGGGAAGTGACCGCGGAGCGGATTCCCTTGATCTTGGATTCAAGGAAATCCAGCATCTCCAATGGAGAGTATACAATGCTGAAGCATTCATTATAAATATGTGACGATACTGTCTCACTGGAAGACTAAGCAAGTCGGATCAGACCACTCTATGCAGCAAGTACTGCTTGAACCTTTTTGGATGAGGACGAAACTGACCATTTTAACTAATCAACTGCAGTCAAGAATATTAACGCATCAACATTTTTATTAAGGGTTTTGAAACAGTTCCTTTAATTAAATGCCTTGTTTGGTAAATGCAAGCACGATTCAAAAAGATATCTGCAAGGATCCCAGCTCCCAGTTCCATATTCTGCAAATGCAGAAGAAATAACCCACAGGCACTTAGGCCCTTGGGTGGGAATGAAGAAAGTGGTGTGTGATGTGCTATAAAAACATCGCACACCACATATTTCAACCCGACCAGAAAAATGAATGTGTTTAGATTCCAGCAGGGAACTGCAGGTTTGGTTACAATGGAAACTCCACAGGCTCCTGCAACAACAATAACAACTTGCATTTATATAGTGCCCCTAATTCAGGGTAGCGTCCCCGAATGCTTAACAGTGCTGGAACACTGTAAATGCTGGTAGTAGGGATTTGCAGCCCAGTTGTACACAGCAATGTCCCACAAACAGCCATGAAACAAATGATCCATATTTATTATGGGGATCGTTGGCCATGGCATCAAAGAAAGTCCCCAACCTCGCTCGCCCCACTATTGACGGGCGGGCGGGCGGGCCTTCTGCAACTCTGCCCCCACCCTCTGGAACTCCATCCCACAGCCCCTCTGCCTCACCCCCTCCCTTGTCACCTTCAAGACCTATCTCAAGACCCTCCTCTTCGACCATGCTTCCTACTTCTCCCCACTGTCCTCCACCACCCCCCGACCCCGACCCCCAGCTTGGGTCCGAAACTCTGTCTGTCCAGCGCCTTAGGACGTCCTCCTGACGTGAAAGGCGCTATACAATGTCATTTTGTTGTTGCATATTTTGTGGGCAAAATGCGGTAGTCAGTTGCCCACAGCAGTATCCCACAAACAGTCATGGATTGAGAGACAAATTTATTATTATTGTTTTTTTGAATGAATTATTATCCCCGGAAGACCAATCCTTCAATTGACTAACAACCAGGTTCCTACTTACTGCTAGGTAAATAGAGGTATGTGAAGAAGGAAACTTGCCCAACATTTCGCTCTGCCAGGAACTGAACCCATTGTGTCTCTGTCTCTGGTTACAAATCTGAGATGGCCCATGTTTACACTAAGTGCATACCTGAGCATTTCATTCTAGCCTTGCTGGGGTGGGTGGGAACAAGGACAAATTCAAAGTGATATGAGTACACTGGCAAATCCATCATTGCCTGAAGGTATGGAGTGCACATCAAAGGCTGCCTCTGATCTCAGAACAGGAACCAATTTACACTGCACTAATACAAGTATCATACTAGGGGGGTGGGAAAGCCTCACAAAGAAATGGTCAACTTCAGAGTGGGGGGAAGGTGGAGTCCAAACTGAGATCACCCAAGCACAAACACCACTATTTAATCTATTGCTATTAAATTAGTGCCGCCCTAAACCATATCAGTGATTGTAGCATTTATTGAGAAACAATCTTTATGTACAACTCGAAATGCAGCAGCCAATTGCGCACAGCAGTATCCCACAAACAGTTGTAAAGTGACCAAATTCTTTTTTAAAAGGGATTATTATCCCCGGAAAACGATCCGCCAATAGACTAACAACCAGGTTCCTACTTACTACTAGGTAAACAAGCGTGTGGAGTAAGGAAACTTGCCTAAGGTTTCGCCCTGCCTGGGAATCGAACTCAGGTCCTCTCGCTTGCGAGGCGAGTGCTCTAACCACTCAGCTCTAACCCTCCTCTTCGACCGTGCTTTCGATCTCCCTGCTTCCCCCCGGCCCTCCACACTCCCTGATCCCGACCCCCAGTTCGGATCCGAAACTCTGTCTATCCAGCGCCTTGGGACATCCTCTGGACGTGAAAGGCGCTATACAAATGTAATTTTGTTGTTGTTGGTGTACCTACAGGACTCCACAAAGATAGGTAATTTCAAAATCCTGTCCTAAAAGTGGCTAAACGGACTGACTTTATATAAAAAATTTAAGTAACTCTCACAGATAAGATACCCTTGAAAAAGGAAACTCCAGTCCCAGAATCTGTCCACCCCTGAACGCTTTGGTTTTCCAGGATTTACTTACCAATATATCCAGAAAGCAGCTTTTCCAAATGTCAGCGTACCCTCAGGGAATTACCTTACAGAACAATGAAGTCACCTCTAGCATGCCCACCATTGTTATTATTTTAAGGAGAGCTTGTAATTCAAACCTTTCAGAAAGAAAGCAGTTCGCTCACAGTCTACAGGAAACATTTAGTAAATTTTTCATTTCTTCATTTACCCAATTTATCCAGAGAATGATTATATTTTTCTGCATGAAGCTATTAATTATGCTTTCTTTTGCCTTTCTTATTATGCACTTATTAAAATGTATTTTCAGTAAACTCAAATCAACTGGATCTAATACATATGCCAGGCTAATCCAAGCATTGTAAATTCCACTTACTCAGACCACAGCATGAAATACTCCAACTCTTCCAAATCCACTGCATTCTAACTTCACAGCTCTCGACACAAACAAAGTTTTGTGTATGAACCTTACTCTTGCATAAAATAATGTAAAAACAGAAATTCCAGGATTTGCCAGCAATTTGCCATTTCGTTTCCATTCTGCTTGAAGTTTTCCACTTACTTCACATCAGAAGTTTTAACATCACATCTTTACACAATCCCCAAATGACAATGGTTGAAAGCAGACTTCTTAAAAAGGCAGCAACAAATTATCAGGTATCAATATGTATTTAAGAAACTCAGTTTAGTTTGTTCCTCTTACAAACCAGGCCACAATTAGTATTTAATGGGACCTCTATAACAAAGTCAAAACTCAACATTAGTTGAGGAACAAACTTTTTCTGAAAAGAAAGTTCTCAAATAAAGTTTTGTACTTACAGAATAACAGTCTGTGGTGCTACTTTGGGTATGTGATCCAGCATCAAATGCATACAGCGGACAGTGGTCCTGAAACACAGGCAGCGGCTCGGGCAGGAATGGGAGATTGTAGGTAAGAAGAGGACGAGGAAAGCTATGAAAAGGAAACATTTGTGTCCCATCCTGAGAGAGATCAGAGCAGTGGCAGCAGCGCTCAGAGCTGCAGAGACCAAACTAAAAGAGTGAGTGGGGTCTGGGCAAGTTTAACTCAAGCTATGCATCCAATCAGACCACAACCAGGATCATATTACAGCACACAGAGCAGAAAGAATCCAGCAGCTTTATCCACAAAAGACTGCCAGGATTGTGATACTCCTCGATTGGAAATTTATGGATGCAAAATCACTGTTATAATTGTTACATGACAAGGGAGTATCAGGATGATTTCTGAGAGAGTCGGGATCCAACCCACTTCTGAGCAGGACTTGTACACGAATATTCTTTATACTTCCTTAAGTAGATACATACTGTTTCCTATCCAGTTTTCAATGGATCAAAATTTATGTCAAGTTTAAATATTTAATTTAGCTTGGTATCAAAATCCTTGTGTAGCACATTAACACATCAAAACATTTCTCTGTAAAGTGTAGTGACTGTGTATTTTTGTTGACAAATGCAGGAGTCAATTTGCAAACAGCAATGCCCCACAATCAGCCATGAAGTGAATGATCAATTTTATTTGGGGTGCTGTTGGCCTGGATATAATTCCTTTTTTTGAACAAGATTTTAACGTCCACCTGAACAGGGAGAATGGACTTTGTTTAACATTTCCTCTTGAAGGACAGCACCTCCGATAATGCAGTACATCCCAGCACTACTATCAGCCAAGAGTATGAGCTCAAGGTCCTGACATTGAACTCAGAGACGAGAGTATTACCACCAAGCCAGGCTGACACCTGGTATCTGAAATTGTAGGTTGGAAGCATTAAGTGTTGTGAGAATGCTTCCTTGGCTCTGTCTTGTTAAACAGATAAAAACTGTATATTCATCCAAATGAGAAACAAATGCTGTGTTGATACTGCATGTTTGGTGGTGACTTGTTGCCATCTGCCATTAATTCACCACCAAATGTGTAGTATCAATGGGGAGTGGAGACTGGGAATTGCATTGGGAGGAGGTATTTGCAGGAACATTGCAATTCACAACCATGCAGTACAAATTCAACAGCTGCATGCATTTTGGTTGTTCTAATGTGGGCTGCATATGCTTCTTCCCCGTCCATTGAACTTTTGGCATTTTGCACAGATTCAATTCCTTTTAACATACATGTATATATTACTTTGAAAAACAATTGCAGAACATAAAAATCAAGTGTGGGTGTTGGTGGGAGGGGGGAGGAGCAAAACAGCTTCAGTTGAAAGCAGTGTAGGGTGGGAAACATAAATCTGCCTTTCTGCTCCACAATGTTATACTCCTGGGAGTGAAATGACTTTTCTCCCAGCTGCACATATTCAGGGTAACACTGCACAGACTCTTACTTATTCTTGATAAATGTGCAGAAGAGAAATATGATCCACTTCACCTACATTGTAAGACTTTCAGTAATAACAGTAATTAAAGTATGTAATAAATAAAAATAATAATAATCCTTGCTTTGATAATACCATTTTTCATGTCAGGAGTCAGTCACCTCACAGAACTCCCAATGTAATGTGTAGTGACTGTGTACTTGTAGGCAAACTTGGCAGCCAGCTTGCGTAAAGCAATGTTCTACATAGAGCAATGAAGTGAATGACCAATTATATTTGGAAAATTATTTCTCAGGGCACTGGGAGAAACTCCTTTCTCTTTCCAAATAGTATCATGGGATCTTTAACATCCACCTGAACAACTAAGATTGGGCCTCGGTTTCATTTCTCATAATGAAAATAATAATAATTCTTGCATTTGATTTTGTGCCTTATCGTGTTGTCAGAATGTGTCAAAGTGCTTAACAGGTTATTGCTATAATGATCGTATTCTGTAGGTGAAGAATGTATACTATATACATAAACTGGCAGGACCATTTTCGTTTCAATTTTAAGACAGCACAGAATTGTAGAAAATTCTTCAATTCAGTCTTAATTTGGAGGTCCTTTTTTATTAAGGATGGCATAGGACCGAGCATCCAAATTAACACTGACTTAAGAATTTTCCAAAAATTTGCACAATTTTTAACTTCAAAACAATATGGTCTTACAGCCTAAGACATGGCAAGATTTCAGACCTCCAATACATGTCATTCGATGAAGAATGAATGGACTCTCTAAATGAATCAACTGTGACACCTATGTTCGGCAGAGAATAGAATTAACAAACCCTTGAAAGTGTAAACATCTTTTCATAATAAAATAATAATAATCCTTGCATTTGATACAACGCTTTTCATGTCTTCTAGATATCTCAAAGCGCTTCACAGAATATACTGTAAAGTGAATTGACTGTATATTTGTGGGCAAAACGCAGTTTTAACATATTTGTTAGTTACACACTGATTTCACACATAATAATTTCCTCCTGTTTAATATGGTCCATTCAATATTGTTATCAAAAAGGGGAAGAATCCGATCTGTAAAGAAGTTATTGTGTGGTTCTGAATTTTCCAATTTATTTGGTTATAAAAGTTTTTTCTGTATTGTCCCAGTGGATGTTAAGAGTTTTGCACTTGAATGCATTAATAAATACACAATTTATGCAGAAAGTAATGCATATGAAGACGTTAATTTGTTTTGTTGTATTCAAGTTTTCTAATTTTCAAGAGCTACAGAAATCAGTATTTATTGTGTTATATTGTGTATAATCTTCAGCTACTACCAAATTATAATCAGAATACTTGGCCAGTTTGTAATGCGCTCTGCATTCATAGGGCAAAGAAACACAACCAACTGTGAGAGATGTTGAATTGTGTCATTTAGGTGTCACCCTTGCTCAGTTGGTAGCAGAGTTGTTTCTAAAGTTGTGGATTCAAGCCTCGCATCTCTAGTTGAGCTCATAGTTCCAGGCAGACACTCCAGTGCCATCGACCAGATGTGCAGTTTGAAATTTAGCTCAGTGCCCAGCAGACTGCCAATGTGCTGTGGCCTGAACAAGCAGCCAGGAGGCTGTTAGAATGAATACCAGTGGCTGAGGTCCTGGCAAAGTAAAGCTATCAGGAAATATGGAGAAAAAAACAGTAAATAGGATTACATGACCTGACATGATTAGTTGCAGAAATGGCTCAGTGGGCTGAATGACTCCTTCTGCTCTATGTATCTACTATGAGTTAGATGTCTTGTATTTTGCATTGAGATTAATAGTAACATTGTAGTATTTCAGTGATTCTGGCTAACCATCACTGCATGGAGTGGGGTTCAGGCTCAAATTCATGTTTGATAGGCATAGAGGGACAGAATTTCACTTGGATTCAGATATGCTTGACATCCTTAGTGTTTCAGGTCATCTCAAATGTGGCAGATTTGTAATATCAACCTTAGGTTTGAGGACGGGTTTCATTAAGTTATTTTAAGAACAACAGAAAAACAACTTCAAAGTTCAGGCAGAATTCAACAATTTGTCGAATTCTGGAAGCTCTAAAATATTAAGAAAATAGAGCAAGTCTAAACCTAGGTAGAATTTCTCACCAGATACAAGTTTAATCCTTTCTGGAGACAGACGAGGGTCAATAAGAACTGAGTCACCTGGATGTTCATTTCTTAGAATTACCGGACAAAAAAATTGACTGGTTTTGTTATTTTGTTTTCATCGCCTTGGGACGTCCTTCTAATGTGAAAGGAGCTATATAAATGTAAAAATGTAAAAATAATTGTTATTCCATCAAAAATTCTATATATTCATTGGAGCCATTTTTAATTTGCCAAATTTTTCTAAGTCTACATTTAATTTGAATTTACTAAAACAGCAGTAGTAATAATAATAATCCTTGCATTTGATATAGCACTTTTCACGTCTTCGCGACTTCTCAAAGCGCTTCACAGAATATGCTGTAAAGTGAATTGACTGTATATTTGTGGGCGAAACGCAGCAGCCAATTGCACACAGCAGTGTCCAACAAACATTCGTGGATTGAAAATGACCAATTTATTTTTGGTTTTTTTGGAGAGATTATTATTAGGCGTGTAGAGTAAGGAAACTTGCCCAAGGTTTAGCCCTGCCTGGAAATGAACCCAGGTGTCTCGCCTGCAAGGCGAGTGCTCTAACCACTGAGCTACAGGACTCCACCAGTACAGTACCAGTAACCAGTACATCTACAGCTCCCAGCGGGTCAATGAAGGACTGCATATATGTAATTGGTTTTACAGTCAATTAACCTCTGCTTCATACGCAACAATTTCATTAATAGTGTTTCATTTTAAGAAAGCTCCTCCCCCCCACATAAAGAATGACTGTAATATAATGAATATACATTATAAATCCTCACCACAATATTGTGGGGAAAAATAGTAATATTGACTGTCTTACTGGGGAATCATCCTCGTGAGGTACTCGTTCCTCTGGGTCTACAATAATACTTGTGCTGGGACCCCGAGGAAAGTGTACTATAATAATGAGGCCCCATCAGATTTTTATAGCATTAATTGGGTTATGCCTTTGAATGATCATTTATAACTCTCTTCAAATTTAGATTGTTAAGATAGCATGTATCACCATAAGAAGTAAGAAAATATTTGCACAATGCAGTGCTATTTACCACACTTTCTTTGAATATTTTGTCTTAAGATCATAAGCAAGCCGTAGAACACAGTTGGAATGCTGTGTGCTGATGTAGTTCAGAAAACGCATGATCTAAGCAGATGATTCTTACCTTTAGGCTCAGTGCTCTGGATTTAATAGTCAGTGGGAGGAGTTTAATAATTAACATGGAGACAGTTACAAGTGCCGAAAAATTTACAACCGAGACTGATCTCAGTTGTAAATTCTTTGGCACTTGTAACTGTATAGCCATAGGGCTCCACAAGGCTAAATTGGTGCAATGTGACTGTGGAGAAAAATGAAGCTGTAACTTTTGTAAACCGTAATAATAATAATAATCCTTCATTTGATATAGTGCCTCCTCGCAGACAGGTACTGGTTATTTTATGCAGCATGCATACTACATACTTTTGAAGTCAGAATTGGCATGATCTTGACAGAAACTTGCAACCAAATGGAGATGTAATCTAAACTGGAG